ACAGATGTAAGCGTGTTAGCATGCCCGCACGCGAATTATTCTCGTGTATGTGCGCTTGAGAGTGCTGTTTGGCCGAGAAAAACAAACTGTCCTGGAGCATCTCATGGTAAACGGTGAAGCACCTACCTGGCCGAACAGTTTCGTTTTCATACTGGTTTTTGCTTGTTCACTCATTGCGAGATGTGATAATATTTCATCTAGATTATTGAAAGTCGCACACTTACTTTTCCATTCAGTACTGCTTCAGTTGTTGTTACAACTGAGTCAACCAGGTCAACCACTGAATATTAGCGAATCGAAAAAACCTTCTGGGTAAGAAAGTGCTGAGGTCCGTGACTCTATTTTAGTAAAAACGGCTTTTGGCTTTAATTGCCTTTGATGTGTGTAAAGAGCTTTCGCTTACTTTGGCGCGAATAAGGTAACACAAAACACACCGATTGTCTGGCGGAACGCACTAGCTATAAAGCGGCTGAAAACTCTTCGAGCGCCGACAACCAGTTTGTCCGTCTTCGGCATAATCATATATACAGTCTCCAGGTTTTGGCCAAATTTATATTCTGTTTGAAAACCAAATTGTGAAATTTGACACACCTTATCAGGATCAATTGCATGAATCACCTGCCGTTATCTCAGACTGGCGTGATAACCCGGCGAAACCGTCCTGGACGTCCAATGCTCTTACACGACACGCTAGAGGACGTACCATAATTAACAATTCCACATAAAAATAAGTGACAAGAGTAAGATGGTGAGGTTTTTGACTTTAATGCTTGACGAATTTTGCACATTTGCTCATGGGTAGGCTAACCTAGAGGGTATTAACAAGCGTATGTTAGGTGTCTCGCAACTTCTTAACCAGGCTAGATATCGCATTTTGTCAAGTATAGTTCGTCAGACTTCAAAAACGAAGGAAGTATTTAAATTCGTTAACCAGAATGAGCCATCGTTTTGATTTTTGGTGTATTTCCTTGTAATGTGAATTCATAAAATACTTACAAATACAAATACTTACTTCCTTGCGTCTACTGCAGTGGAAAAGATGTTCTTTCACGTTTGTCACGATCAGACGCATGTCACATTTAGATATACTTGCATAGTAATATCCCGAGAAAAAATCACCATAACGTTATTTTCTGGGTCCATTTATGGCGTTCTTTTAGATCAATAATAAAAAATAAAGTTTCTTGATCTTTCCAAAAAATGCACAGGATGCTGGACGGTGTGAAAATATTTTCCATTTAATTCGATTTTCTAGTACTTCCCCGTTTGCGATATTTCACACCTAGCTTCCAGCCTTAATCACACCTTCCTGAGCGGACACGAAGCAATCAGCTACGTTCCTTGACTTTAAGTCTGTTTATTCTTGATGTTGAATCAAGTGAACTGGAAACTCCACTGCCACGGGGGTCAGCCACATCCTTCGACGTGATCGCAGCTTTCCAAATTCTAGAAAGCAAAGTTACATGAAAAATAAACTAACTAAAATTGCGTCGATTTTAGGATTTTCTTGTTTTCGGTTATTCAGACCTCAATAAAAATCAAACGGCACTAATAAGCTGGGACACCAAACACCTTGTAACCAAAGTTTGTAACCATTGTATCACACTTGAACTTTATTGGCTGTTGATCAGGTGGCTGTGGATCTGTTCGCCGAGCTTGGCAATTGGCTTGCAAACGTTTCGTCACCATATGAGGAGACATCATCAGTGCGCAGTTGAGTGGGTACTTCCTCCTTGCCTGCGTGCGTTTACATAGCATTCGAAGGCTTTCCGTTATCTTCTGACGTGATCAGCTACTTAAAGTGTAACAAAATTGGTGGATCTACTGGTCCAGTTGTGATCTTTGTTGCGTTATGGTCTGCATTCCTTTGTGTCGACTGGTTATCCTCACGCCTTCTATTTTTAGTAGTTTGTTCTCTCCAGCCTCGGCTTCTATTGCGTTGTGGTCTGACATTCTTGAGTTTGATTGGTTGCTTGTGCCGCCCTATTTCTCCACCGTAGCGGTCAGTGTTCCTTCGTCCGTCGGTTGATTTGGTGCTTTGATTGGGTGCTTCCTCAAATCCAATTGATGTGTCCGTTTGAATGATGTTTTTCTCCTTCTCTTATGCTTTCCTCGTCTGGTTGATTTTGCAGCTCTAAGCTCGGTGGTTCCGGAGTTCTCTCGCTCTTAGTGGCTGGTATGGTGACGAAACGTTTGTAAGCCAATTGCGAAAGCTCGGCGAACAGATCAACAGCCACCTGATCAACAACCAATAAACTCACCCGAGCTACCAGTATTTCAACAAATTACCAACTTTTGGACTTTATTGGTATACATTGCTCCGTTATCCGTTTCAGTCTGACGGTTAATTTTTAACGGATATCAAATTCGGTCGTCAACGTTCACGAAACTATCTCTGATAAATTTGCTTTCCAACAAGTCTGCACTTGAATATATTTTATGTATTAGTGTCTTGACAGGGACAGGGCGCACAGTAAGCGACAGACACAAGCTTGCTCTGAACGCCCGAAAAAGATGAAAGGTTCACTGATACTGATAAGTGAGCAATAATGCAAGCGACTCAAAAGAAGTATGATTGTAATTATCTTATCAGCTTCCTGGTGATTTCAGGAAATGTTGAAAAAACGCTTCCATCCTGTCGTCACGATGTGCTATTATGCATTTCAATAATAAACGTTAGATAAGGATATCAATCGATTCCGGTCGGAGATGAAAAATAGCCTTCGACGTCCCACTTCTATTTATTGGTGTAACCAAACGCTCTAACTTGACTAGAATCGTTCTAGTTTTTTTCAAAATCACAAACTACTCCACTCCAAACCGAGATGGGCTTTTCTGACTTTGACCGCCAAAAGAGAGGAAGCATCGGGGGAAGTACGCGGAGAGTAGGAAATATTTCCTGCCAGACACCACCTGGCTTTTGCATACTTTCAGGCAGCAACACCGTAAAATTTTGCTTCAGCTGCACGTCCTAAACCGAGATGCAGAATAAGGTCCCCGTTTTTAGCAATTCCAGTGCCTTAATTTTATAATACTTGGACATTATCACCAAATAAAGCAGGCAATGAACGTCCCTCAGGTTTGTAATCCCCACTTGCGCTGTCAAGAGTAGTTGGCAAGCCAAATAGGTGTTGGCTATTTCCATCGTTTATTCTGCCAATGCAAGCTATTAATAAGTAATTACCAATGGCGTTCTACAGCAAGAAGTTTAGAACATCCAGATAAGCTTTTCTAATGGCACGTTTGGGTGAACATGCATTCTTAGGTTTACATATCAGTTTACGCTTAAATTGACACCTACAAAAGAAGGGCAAGACTGACAGTTCTCCGCCAGATATTTCGTGTTTGAGTTTTAAAAATACATTTACATCTTCATGCGTTTATTTTCATACGACTAGGATGACTGTAACGAGGCCATCTAACTTGAAGTTTTATGGTGCTCTTTATATTTTATGGTTAGCTTCAATGCGAAGTTCCAAACCATCGGAAAATGCCCAACCAATGGAGGATTTCCCACGGTAGGCCGTCGAACATGTGAATGGCGTACGTAACGGTATAGCTAATTACAGGACAATCGTCTAGATTGAGCTTATATTCCAGACAAGATCAATTAAGGTCATTTACTATGGCTTCTCACAATATTCTGCTGAAGGCAGCTAGTAGAATGATAAATGAAGTTGCCTAAAATTTTGGGGATGTCCACTTTACGGACCATCGGTTCATACAACCAAATTCGACCTGATTCATCAAATTGCATTTATTTTGCTATAATTTGCGTGCGAGGCTAAAAAAACGGACTTTTCAATTTTAATTAACGGAAACAGTCAGAATTGCTTTGTTTTGGATTCCTGTTGGGTGTTATTATTCCTTCGAAAATGAGTAACTTTCTTAAGGTGATGCAATCTTTGAGCGTGTTTTTTTGTTTTACCAAATTATGCATCCAACTTATAAAAATTATGGCGCTTCAGCATGCGTTCTAAAGAAATAAACCTTCTTATGCATAACTTTTAATCTGATTTGACTATTTCATTACGATGAATTTTTAACAGGTAAAATGTACCAGTGTACCAAAGTGCGACTCAGATATACTGGATCATGCAAATTCCAACACCCTATTTCCCGCTCAATACTCTTCATTCACTCAAAGCTCTCTATGATGCAAGAGTTCAAACATCCCAAAAAAACAATGTTTTTCACAGAAATTTTTGAAGTAAGTGGATTTTCTTGTCTAATAACCTAGTGGAGCTTCACTTGAGCTAAAAATTACTGCAGGATAACTATGGAAACATAGGATGTGCTACAAGCCACCAGCTAGATGCACTGGATGCAACCACCCTTTGCTTATACACGCACACAGATGTAAAATCGTTACTCAAACCGTTCATTGATGGCGGTGCGTCTGAACGAAGAAACCCATCATGTGAGCACCAACACAGATACTCAGTTGCAATTCTTGTGTGATGGTAAAACTCACATGCTCCACAAGAAACATCACCTATAGAACCAATGGGATGGTCTTGGTGTTTATCGAAATGAGCTCAAGGGTAACTGTTTTTTTTGGGAACTCACTTGGATGTGCTTCTAACTCCATCTGCTTAAAAACATGCGTGCTTTTTGCAAAATGCAAACGCATGTTTGAGGTTGTAATAATCAAAACGTCTACAGCAAGTTTTCTAAATGGGCAGTCACAAAACGCTTACCTTCAGTCCGTGGATTCATCAATGACTGAATGAATTGGTTACTATGGACCCCCGTACCTGAGTGCTTCAGCTCTCAGCTTGTAGAAAATAGTCCACAAAAGAACAAATACAAAGTGAGGTGACCTATAAACCCAAATCAGAGGGTATTTGATGTTAAACAAATCGTCTTTAATCTCAACGGTAACTCACTTTAGGTCAGTACTTAAATATCTGATTTTGTTGCAAGCAAAACCCTAGAATTTCAGTGTTTATACCAGATTTAGCTCACTAGACCTCCATATTTTTGCTTATAATTTTCAGGCATTGAACGTTTGTCCACATCCACTAGCCATGTTGACGGCCGATCTCTCAGACGACGGCTTTGAGGACGTGTTTGCTGAAAAGCTCTGCATTTTGAGCATTTCCCTAGTTTAATTCGAATTCCTTGACAGTCTGTTTTAACTGCTCACTCACATGCAAAATGTGGTCTCAGAATGTGTCTCACTTGCTCTGAATGCATTTTGCAGCCAAAAAGCCTAGGTTATTTGCTCGGTTATGCCAGTGTGTAGTGAGTTTATTGGACACTGCCTATTGTTATCGACCGGCCAAGGCATCTGCATCCACCAATAAGCGATGACCTATCATTTCTCATCTAATTGGTTGGTCCATTTATCGTTACATATTATGGATAAATGTACAGCCTGGTCCTCAACAACACTTTTTCATAACCTGAGCTTATTTTCCGTAATATTACGTCATTGATTAGACATCAAATTTATTAATAAAAAGGGCGGGCAAATATATCAAACTCAGTAGCTTTCCGCTAATCGTGAAAATGTGCACAATCTCAAATGTGACAGCAGAGAATTAAGGAACGTCACATTTTACGTAACTCGTCCTCAACCTCAGGAATACGTCAGAAAAAAAGAAATCTGTCCAAAGACGGCGTTATCTGCATTACTTCGACAAGCAGCCAGTATAGACATTCAGAAAAACGCTAATAAAATTCATGTCAGAACGTGTCCCCTTCCTTTGTTCTTGGAGACAAATTACTAAATCGCTGAAGGCCGTCTCCAAATGAAAAACAGCTCAAATGAAGATGCAAATAATGCCGCGAGCCAATGCTGTTCGGCGGGTGTTGAATAAACGGTTGAAAACCAATTAGACACCCAAAACTTAACTATCATAGGATTGCGTCCATATTTTCCTAGGAGAGCAGCCATATATGGATTATCCCTCACGAGAATAGTTTTTCAATCACCAAAAATCGTCTTGTAGTGAAGTGATTAATAATCCTCTACAGAGTGCCTCACCATAGAGCGGCCACACACCCTATTCGTAGGCGCCTTTTTTGCCTTCTCACTTCTTAGACTGAAACGTACTTTGCGCCTAGTGATCGATTCAACCTGATACGGGGTTTCAAACCACCAATTACGTACATGTATACATGTTTCTTCAGTATGGAGAGAAAAGATTTCTGACCGTCCCTAAGTAACATGGAATGGCAGCAAACCAGCATGCCTTATTGAAATTATTGATCCCTGATATCTTCAGCGTTTCTGCGATAAACCATCATCAGAATCAATCTATGACGTGATCCACATTAAGGCTTTATGGAAACAGAGCAGGTATTGTACTAATTCTGGTAGTTTATCACCCAGATTTTGGTTTACGGGATCTTTACCATGCGTAAAGTTGGGACATTGCTTCAAGACATTTGCCACAGATGGCGAAAACTCCCAGTGTATCAGAGGAAAAAACGGCTTGGCGAAAATGCAAGCCATTTTACTTCGCCTGGTCACACAGCTTTGGATTTCGGAATGTGTTGAATATGGTGGTTATAGCTGTAACGGTTTTGTCAACAGATGATTTGTAAAGGTAGAGTAGGTAGCTGCGCACTGCAGTTTGAGCCTGATACTTTTGTTCGTAAATATGGGCCTGTCAGCGTCTAATCCGCAAGCATGAGGCTTGGGTTCAGACCTACCCAGTCTTGCAGTAGCACTACACTTTGCCGGTGTGAAGCGCCTACCAAACTGTGAGGCATAATAACTTAGATTACTCTATATTGTTTGCATTACCATTGGGTTAGATCCAAAAAGAGCTATGCTGTCCGCGTATTCGATATCTGTTAGCGGGTGCACACAGGCATTTAAAGTTTTGAGTGAGTCTTCACACAGCGTCCACGTATGCTTTTGAAAAGTAGGAATAAGTGTCGACATGCCCCATTCTGTAGGCATCTTTTAGTCGTTCCATATAGCACTAATAACTTTTGTCAGCTGAGTCACCAGAAATTCTCGGCCTCCTTTGAAGAGGGCTGAATACAGATCGTCCGGTCCTTTTTACGGCCTTTTTACGTTTCAGTACTAGTATTTCGTATTTTATTTCCCATTCTGACAGGTAATTGGGGTTTACATTGCATTTCCGTAGGCACTATCTTTACAGGCTGGGTTGGTGCAGGACAGCCAAACTGTTCTTCAGAGTGTTCAGAGTGTATTATTGAGCCGACATTTTCACATATCGTTTTACTGACCGATGCATTCCTGGGGCCATTACATCCTATCAGTTGGTATAGTGCAATCCTCTTCCCGATAAAAAATCTTCTCAGTCGCCCGAGCTTTTGATGTCCAACAGAGCTCTCGATTTTTCCTTGGACCCTTCATTATTTGGTGTTCGATGAATTCATGCGCGCTGTCGTTTTCGTTGCCTGCTGATATCGATTTCCTGACATCAATCATAGACAGTAATCTCGACGACATCTAGTAGTCTTGTGGTCCAATCGGTGCAGTCAGAATGCGGATTGGTATGCTTCTTGCTGACTTTCAAAGGCCTGAAGAGAAACTGACTTCCAGGCGTGCACGCGCCATGGCGTGATCGGAATCAAGCTATGTGCCCTAGAAGGAATGGCAGTCTTTAATTGTTACTGTCCACAGTGGCTTTAGGCCACATGATCCAGCTGGGTCCAGGGTTGAATTGCAGTTACGCGATGCGAACGTCTATGCTTAAAGTTCGTACTGGATAGAAACAGTTGATGATCAGCACACAATTAAAGGAGCCGCTCTTCGAAACAACCTAGGAGGTGGGTTGCCCGAAGTAAAACGTCCGCAAAAAATTAAGCATCCGTGATATTTTGTGCACCTGGATTTCCCACAAAATCACACCTAACGTGGCCAACTATTCATGAGTTCTTCCTTGCCACCACTTGTTTGAAGGTTGGAGATCTGTTGAGATGAGCCTGTCTCTTACTTTCAAGAACGATGTGACAGCTTATACAATTCTAACTACACATTGCTATGGATTTTGCTTTGCCTGTAACGCAGCGTTTTAGTGGGAAGTAAGACGCAGGTTCTTCAAAGTGTTGAATCTTTCAAACGACAATAACTCGCTAACAGTCTATTTGTCTAATCAGAACTAAAGAAACGAACATTCGATTCTATATTAAGTTCAATGTGGTGGTTCGTGAATGAAAAGAAACCAGGTCCTTTTTCACTGAACAATGCAAACTTTTCAATAGCCGAAGGAGGCAACTCGGTCACGACTATCTTAAAATGGCTCAGAATAGCATATAAGATTAAAGATCTTAGCAGCACCCAGTGAATTGACGGCTTAGATGATGGACATGCTGTGGATACTGTTCTTCCAAGCACACACTTTCTTTATATCCCTCGCAGCTTTTCAACTTTTCGAGAGCTCGTGTCGTTACATTGACTGTCAGTCATTGTTTGTCTGCCAACGTAAGAGGAAAATTTAGAATGTTTTTCACATGTTTGCTTTTGGCACAGTAACCTTCGAAAAAGATGCTTTCGTGGGTGGGTTTCTTTCGATTTTAGAACCTAAATGTAATCGGAATTTGCATCAAATGCATACTGACTATATCGTTTTTCGCATAGTAAGATTATTCCCAAATACAAAATACTTTTGTGTTTCCCCAAACTGCTTTTCAACAGCTGGCGTTTTAATTCGTTTTCAGAAAATTTGTGCGTTCATACACGAAATGTGAACTCAAATTCACCAGAAACCCGTCTGATTATATTATAAATTATGCTGTGAATTGAGCTGCTCTAGGGAAGAAAAAAATTGATAATAGCTTCCAGGTAAGAACCGGCCGAAATGTCAATGATTGAATAAACTTTTGAAAAAAACACTTAAAAATACCATGGTATTCTTTTTACCTCTTGGTGTACTCGTTCATTTATTGGCTTTTGGAGTAGAAGCCGTCAGTATGAGCCAGAGACGACACGTCGCAATGGTCATCGTGCTTTGGACTGTATTTTCATCTCTCTACATACCCCCTTTTCTACCTCAGCATCACATCTTAATTCGAGGCCTACAGTTGTTTTATGGTTGATTACAAGATAAATTATGTATCAGATAAGCGCCTCGTCAACAGTGGTCGTGTCGATCATTCTCAAAAACGTGCAAAAAGCAATTTCTACCCGGCTAATCGAATGCGAAATGGTTCACACAGTGTGCCTACCCATGCACGTCTATCAGTCACGTGAGCAGAGATAGATCAAATCCCTCTGATATGCCCACCGAGATAGCTCCGCTTTTGTCCGGAAGTAAGGACTGAACACCTATGTTTGTCGACAGTGAGTAGATCTACCTTTAAGCGTAAATGATTTTGGAAACAACACATCAATCAAAATGTGACTGAGAGAAGCAAATAAAGAGGGCTATATGCGCCGCCCAATGCATGCATTTCGCAATTTTGTTGCCCGAACCAGCAACCTGCTGGAGTTTTTAAAAAAGACAATCGAAGGAGCTATGCATTTACAGACTTGTAGTAAAAATGAATGTCACTTCAGTTACCATGGTGTATTTACAGATGGTCTTCTGGTTAAAATGAGGTAAATGGGTGGAAGCATTCTAACAGTGTGTATTTTTCTCTCAGTCCACAGGAATCTGCTTAAGTTAGATAGACAGCGTCTGCATTATCGGCTTTCACGGTTGCCTTCTATGGTAGATTCTCGAAAAAGACAGAGTAAAATGGCCATTTATTCTAGGTGTTCCTCAAAGTATAAAAATGACTGATTGTGGACACCGATGGCCTAGTGCTGCATTCGAGACCTACATAATCATGCCCGAAAAATGAATCCGTGAATTTCGAACCAATGATTCAACCTTCTTCAAAGTTACTTCAGTATGGTGATATATTCCACACTCAGTAACGGTAATATGTAGAATGCTAAGCAGACGTAAATAAAACGTCTGGCAAATAATAAAACAGGTTTATTTAGTCATAACCCACTAAACGCTTTCTTCCATTTGGAATATATTTAAATAGAAGGGTGTGGAAAGTAGCGATATGATGTAACCGGTAAAAGAGAAGGTTGCTAATCGACGATGACGGTGTTGCTGCTGTTAAAACACACAAGGGGCACTTTTTCACTGC